GGGGGGAGAGGGGCCGAGAAAACAACCCAAACTTTATCATCATCATTATCATCTCGCCTTGTCCACCGTAGGTTGTTGCGTCCCAAGTCACCTGATGACGATAGCCATCTTGACTTTAGGCCACCCTGCGAGCGTTCAACACAGCGAAAACGCACACTGTCTCTGACGTTACCAGTATTACGTCCTATAGGTCTACCTCTCTTCCTGAACAGCTAAAAATAATATGTGTCGCGACGTGGTGGAGTCATTTTTTCTAATAGTAGAGGGTTTTACGGCGCTCGCAACTGCATAAGGTCATTTGAGCGCCAAGGGGTGGGTGTCAACAGAGAAGTCTTTACAAGGAATCAGACTTAGACTGCTCACCTCCGTAGCTTCAACAGCACAAGGTCTGCTTCGACTATCAAGGCACCCCAAAATAGCAGGCACAAGAGAGTGACAAACATACATGTACAAAAGAAGTAGAGGAAAATGACAATAGTAAGGATCAGGAAAGAAATAGCAGCAGTTCCTTGTTGTAGATCAGGCACAGTTATGAGCTTGACATGAGTCAGCCCATTTACAATTCTACTATGCTTGAACGAGAAATGTCCCCCCCCCTGGGAATGGCCTAAAGACACTTCAGTCAGTGGCACTGCCCCGGGGGGTCTGGTGGAGTCAGACGCTCTTGAATTTTGGAGCACGTAATTTAGAGGAATTGATACCCTTCTGAAACGTATTCATTTGTCTTGTATACCGATCTATTTCAAACAGAAGTAGAGATGTGTTGAGGAGGTGGGGGTGGTCGCCAAACAGCAGAGGTAACATTATGGAGAAAATGACCACCAAGGTTTGATGGTTCCAAGAGGAGAGGTCTTGCAGTTTCGCAGATTTGAATTTTTTTGTTTGACTTTGATCATTGGTATTTTAGTAAGATACGTACAGAAATATGTTTATACTATACATGGACATCAAAGGTGTTAATAGTAACCCCCCCTCCCCCCCTCCAAAAAAAAAAAGAAAAGAAAAAAGAAAATAAGGTGATAATATCGGTTGCTTCGATTTCTTTATTTTTATGAAGCACCTGATTTTTTTTTAGTTTTAGAAGGAAATTTATGGCATTTGTAGCACAATAAGGTCATACAAATGCTGAAGATTTGAAGTTTTACAATAGAGTAACAACAAGGGCAAAAAGGGAAGAGAAAGGATCCGGAGGACAGATGTTCCATACGGAAGAAGGAGCAAACTCCACCAAGTGCCTGATTTCTCCACGATGACACACATATCTAAGAGGAGAGGAAAAACAACAAATAAAAGAAAACAAACAAAAAACATGCAAACAGACAAACAAACAAACATGCTCACCGTCCTTTTAAGTCATCGTCCTCTCCACCCCAGCCAAAGTAGAGATTGGAATCGCCGTTGATGTGTTTGAACTGGCTCTTGGTGAAAGCAACCACTCCCCCAAAGTAACCCTCGTAGGGAAGCCTGTGGGAATAAACAAGATTAGAGAGTCTCTCCTGTTGTCTGTCTGTCTGTCTGTCTGTCTGTCTGTCTGTCTGTCTGTCTGTCTGTCTGT